TGAAAAAATTCACACGTATAAAAATAATTGCATTTTGTTTTACAAAGAGAATAAATCGTTGGATAAATGCCCTGTAGGTAATGAGTCGTGGTTTAAAATGACATCTTAGAATAGAAGAACGAAGATTCCACAAAAAGTTATGTGTTATCTCCCATTAAAGCCCATGTTGCAGTGATTGTATATGTCAACGCACACTGCAAGCGACATGAGGTGGCATAAGGACAGATGGGTGGATGACGATGTTATGAGACATCCTGCAAATGGAGAGGCCTGGAAAGAGTTTGATCGGCTGTACCCCGAATTTGCACGTGAGCCCCGAAAAGTTAGATTGGGACTTGCGACGGACAGGTTTAATTCGTTCGGGGTTCTAAACCAGTACCACAACACTTGGCCAATCTTTGAAATTCCGTATAATTTGCCACCTTGGAAATGTATGAAAAAAGAATTTATGATGACGTTGTTAATAACCAAAGATCTAGGCACTTGTATTGATGTGTATTTACAACCGTTGATCAATGAACTAAAAGAATTATGAGAAAACAGTGTTCCCACGTACGATAAATCTACCGAAAAGATGTTCACTTTGAGAGTAGCCGTGATGTGGACTATAAATGATTTTCCTGCATACGCTATGATGTCTGGGTAAAGCACTAAGGGCTACTACGTATGCCCAGTTTACAAAGAGGACACGATGTGTAGTTAGCACGCGGGAAAAGTTTGTTACCTAGGGCATCGTAGGTGGTTGCTGTGGGACCATGAGTGGTGTCAGAATGAGACAGCCTTCTTCAACGGCACAGAGCTTCTACCAAGACCAAGACAATGGTCCGGCGATGAAATTTTAGCTCAGGTGAATCGGTTGGATCTTGCTCCGTTGGGCAAGTTCGTAAATAAGATAAGACCAGACACACATCTAAACTGGACACACAAGATAAGGTTGTTTGAGCTCTCATATTGGTCCAAATTAAAATTGAGACACAACATCGATGTAATGCATGTTGAGAAAAATGTGTTTGATATACTGGTCGGAACTATATTGGACATCGAGGGAAAAACAAAGGACGCGATAAAAGCTCAAATCAGTCTGGAAAAAATGGGCATTAGGCCAGGTTTATGGATGGTGAGGGATAGAGACATAGCCAGAAAGAAGCTTGCTTCATTTTCGGTGAAACTGGAAAAGAGGAAAGAGTTTTTGCAGTTTCTATCTTCTGTAAAGTTTCCAGAAAGGTATGCTTCAAACATCAGCCATTGCGCAAACGTGGATGAAGGCAAATTTCTCGGCCTCAAGAGTCATGATTGTCATGTCATACTTCAACTCCTGCTACCAGTGGGAATTCGACACCTCTTGCTTGAAGATGTGGTAAAGCCGATTATGTTGTTGGCGAGATATTTTTCTCAATTAATTGCAAAAACTTTGTGGAAGTCCGATGTTAAATAGTTGTGTGACGATATTATTGAAGTGCTATGCAAGTTTGAGCAAATAATTCCTCCAGCTTTCTTCACAAGCATGATTCACTTACTAGTTGAGGCACTTGTAGTTGGACCCGTCAATTATCGATGGATGTATCCAATTGAAAGGTATATAATCGCCATAAATACTTTAGTTCGTGATATATGTATAATTACACTAATTTTATACGATAATTTGTTTATTGATGCAGACTACTGGGTGAATTAAAAAAGAGTGTACGAAACAGGGCAAAGCCTGAAGGATCAATCATGGAGGCATGGGTCGGTTTTAAGTCCCTTACATTTTGTGCAATGTCCCTACAAGACGTTGAGACTATGTTCAACCGACAGCAACACAATACTGACGGTGGTGTGAGAAGTGAAAAAAATTATGTTTTTTCCTAAAATGCACGACCATTTGGCGAACCAATCAGAGGGGAGGCGTTTGACAAAAAGGACATAGAGGTAGCACATTGGTTTGTACTTAACAATTGTGATAAAACAATTACGTACTAGATGAGCATGAAGAGTTGATGAAGCAGGAACATTCTTCACATTTATATGCCAAAAAGCATCGTTAATTGTTTCCTCAATGGTTTCGTGAAAATGTATGTTCGTGTTTGGGTTTTTTACATAATTGTAAATGTTAAACTAACACGACATCTTTTGCTCTTTTATTTAGGTGAAGAAATTGAAGGAACTTAATTTGCCCGCTTACAATGAAGAATTGTACAGCATGGTGATTGGGCCAGTAAGCACATAGTTGTACTCCGGTTGTCATGTAAATGGCATCAAGTTTTTGGCAATTAAGCACGATGACAAACTTTGTATGCAAAATAGTAGGGTACATGTACCGGGTGCGGGCGACATTGCAGACATTGATTTCTATGGAAAACTGACAAGCGTTGTGCAATTTCTTTACAAAGACTGGTGTCAAGTTATCCTCTTTAAGTGTCGCTCATTTGATACAAACCCACGTCGAGTTGGAGGTGTCAAACGAGACGATGGTTTGCTATCAGTCAACACTAACAGATGTTGGTATAAGGACGACCCTTACATTTTGGCAATGATGGCTAAACAAATTTTCTAAATGACCCTAAGGCCAGGAGGGGATGGAAAGTAGTTCAGAAGATTGAGCACAGAGGGATGTATGATATTAGGGACCGAGATCATGTTGCCGATGACGATTATGGTGACATTGCTGACCAACAATTGGAAGCTTCAACACCACTTGGTGCAAATACACTGTGGAATATGACTATTGTACAAGAACCGTATCAGGTAGCTGGAGGTCCTAAAATCGAAATACCTATTGATTCCATTACAATTGACCTCGGGGATCTGCCGTGTTACAATGCACCCAAGCGCGCGAACGAAGATATTGATGTGCCTACAGACGAGGAGGAATGGGAGTCTAAATCCAACGATAGTGATGATCTTTATTCTAGTTTAGACGAGAATTAATGAAAAATTGTGATGTATATTAATTAAATGTATTGAATGGTATTTAAAAATGTTGTATACAAACAAAAGTTTCCTTTAAAATTTGTAACAAAATGAAATTAAAAAAATATTTATTTATTTAAACCAAAAAAAAACTGAAATTTACAGTTATGCGCGATGACGTTGTATAAATATTTTTCGTGCAAATAAAAAAAATTAATTTTTTTAAATTGGTTGCGCAACGAAAGTTTAAACATCTCCATCGCGTTGATTTTTTTCCCAAAGGTGGGTGCATTTTTAATTTCGTGCCTTAACTTCTCTATCTCCCTCTCAGACACTCAATCGATTATGTCCGATTCTCTCAAAATTGGGCGCAAATATTAAAAAATTCATTTAAAAAAAAAAACACTAGTTGCGCAACGAATATTAAAACATCTTTGTCGCGCAAACTGTTTGTTACTGTCTTCCTCACAATGACACTGTCACTGAGTATTTGTCATTGTCTTCCTCACATGAACAAAGCTCTTACTCACTTCCTCACAATGTCACTCTCTGTTTGTCATTTTCTAGTCATATTTAGCAAGGACCTGTTAAAGTTGACTAAATGTAATTTACGTATGAATAATTTTCAGGTAGTAGTTACCTTGATAAAACAATAAAAGGTTTTATCTTCCCCCTCCCACAATCTCCAACCTAATACCTATTCTCTAGCTGTCAACAGTGGAAACCTTTGTATTGTCCGACCAACTTCAACGCCATTGTTTTTATCCATCTGTAACTGCTCATGTTGAATCAGCATCTTGTCCTATTGCTTTATGTAATCATTGTCCAAGTAGAAGTCTCTCAGCTTCTCAGGAGAGCAATTCTCAAATAGTGTCACACTCAAGTATGTCAAAGGACCATCCTGAATGTAAGAAAAAAGATACATAAACTCAATTCCATAGCCTTTATTTGCTAAAACCAGTAGAGTTAAACAAGGAATCAAGTATTTCATGCGACCAACGGATTCTAGAACAAGAGTAAATGCCCCTGGTAACTTTGGGTTACAAAATATCATAATCAATTCAAAGACTAAGACAAGATGAATGACCTTAGGCTTGCAGCACTTAGCATAGTAAGATAGAATATCATTTCTTTTGTCTATGACATTTTCCCATTTCACATTTTCGCCTATCTTCTCCACCAAGCTATTAATCAGAAACTTCAAATCTGCATTTGTCACCAGTTCTGATGTGCTGCAAAAGTAAACAGAACGAACACTTAAGTAACACATATCTAGTATAAATAGTGGTGAGAATATTCTTCATCACATCTATAAGTGATCTTCTTCAGTGCATAAAATTGTTGTATGCCCAAAAGTGTTTGAAGATTATTGATTTGATAATATTTTGGCTTTAACTTTGTAATGGCATGCATTTGAAGATTATTGTAGATGGGTAAATTTGTTTGTTTGTTTTCATGAAAAAAATGTTCCTTGCCATACTCAATTTTATTCCTATCTCATGTTTTCATTCACCTTATATATGTGAAATGAAATGCATATAATAATTTGATTATCTAAACAGATTCATGATTGTTTTTGTAGATGTCAAACTTAATATCAAACCGGCAGTCAACTAGTAGGGGCAGTGAGACACCTTCTCAAGGAGGTAATGTTGCTGACACCTCCACACTTGATTTGGACACGATGGGTGTCCTTCCGGTCACGCCATTGGGGCCAACGGTGTCTACGACTGTTCCGTCATCGACTTCTTCAGTGACGCATAGTGTCCTAAGCACTCGACGGACTCATCGAAGGCCCCGGACTTCTGAGGAGGCACAGTCGTCTGGTGACACTTCCTCTGTCCATGGAGAGGCATCCCGGATAGGTAAGCTTGCTCCTTCCCTCCCTCCCGCCTTCTCCTCCTCTTCTGGTGTATATTAGTCTAGATAGCTTATATGCAAACATATTTAACCCAAAAGAATAAGGAACATATAATTATGGAGCTGCTCATTTAAAATGATTCTATATCCTTGACTGTATACACCAGTTGATGAAGTACTTCAAGCACAATAATCGTTTTGATCTTATTTTCAAAGAGCATCATAATTAAATACTATTCTTGCTTTTTGAAGAAACTTGTATGATTCACAAGAGCTAAGTACACCTCCCTAAAAAACCAAATGTGATATAAAAGAAAGCATCTATTAGCTGCTGTAAGTATACTTCTGTTCACTGAAACATTAAGGGAAATTATTAAATTCCATTGAATTCCCTTATCATTAATCAGCTTTATTTCTAAAGTGACTTGATACTGCTGAAATTTTTTTTTTTTTTTTAAGAAAAATAGCAGCATGCCTGTTTTAGATTTAAATTTTCCTATATTTTCCGAAGTAAAAAATCCTTGAAATTTTAACACAACTTTTTTGTAGGTGTCTACTTTGAATCTGAAAATTTTCATACTTTTTGGTTAAACAAATTATTTTCGGTGAATTTTACGGTACAAGTCATTTTTGCAGTTTTTATTACCTCAATAAGTCTAACTTTATTTCTTTGAGTTACCCTTGTAGTTTGGTGTAATGTAATTGTTGATTTTAAATCTTCATTGACATAATCTTAAGCTAATATTTGTTTTACACCCTTAAACAACCTTTTTATTCTATTTTTTCTCTTAATCTCCCACCTCGAGTTTTGGGGTGTGACAATTTTGCTCTTAGCAACTAGAGGCATAATGTGCTAATTTACTGCATTATTAGTTGCAGATAATCAAACTTCCACTTAAAAGATGGATATTCAAAATCCCACCATTTCCCTTCAAGTATAGAATGTAAACTTAACTTGTGTAATTAAAATGTGAACCATAATATAATTAAGGAATCTTATCCTCTCTAATAATTGAGCAACAACGTTAAAAATATTTGATGCAAATCGAAGTGATCTTTTAATTTATGCAGAGAATACCATGCATGCTAGCTAGTTATTTTGAATTCTGATTTTGACCTATATTAATGATTGTTAAGTAGCACTGAGAACTCATATCAACAAGTTGTAAATTTTGTTTTAACGTCCCCCGTTGGTATAAACTGTTTGAATTGTTGGGTGGATGTGTTGTTTATGTTGTTATATTGTGTGCAGGTTTTAGGAAATGTTATAGTTTTAGGGGAGGTTCTGTCAAATTTTCGGTAGCAAATAGAAATCATCTAATGTTTACTTTGTTTATTTGGTAGGTAAAAAAAAAAAAAAAAAAAACCAGGGGCCCTTGTAGACTACAAAAGACTTCTCAGACCACTCACACCACGACCCAGAAGATCACCATTACGTGGGATCCTCGACATCGTGCGGCTACAACAAAGGAGCAGCATCGTGTGTTGGCCACGGACGTTGGTTGCGTTATCAGGAGCCATTGCCCCCTCAGGTGGGAGCCATGGAGAGCTGTGCCACAAGAAACCAATGACGCCGTGCTTTATGAATTATCGGTAAGTATTTTCAACCTCAAATACTACATTTTAATTAAAGTATACAAAGATTATAAATTTTAACTACTATTTATTTGTTGAGTTTTGCAGCATCACTATGAGCTCTCCAACCTCGATTCCAACCAAATGGAATACCTCAACGACCTTTGCTCCAATAGGTTCACTCAATGGAAGAGCGACCTCCACAAGCATTATGAGCTATATGACGGTCTGGAGGTCGCTCTAGAAGTTGGGTGCCCTATGGAGTTGCTGGACCATCGGGATGTGGCTCTGCGGCCATTTTCAAGATGAGAAATACTTGGTACGTATAATTTATATTTCAATAATATATTAATAAAAAAAATTACAATTTAAAATAAACATTTCATTTTTTTCATTCATTTGTTATAAATATCTAAACTAATACGTTTTTTTTAAGTGAACAGAAAAAAGTGAAGGCAAACTCGATCAATCGGTCGAAGAAAAAACTTCTTCACCGATCTGGGTCACAACGCTTCTCTTATAGGTTGGAGGTACGACGTAAGGTAACTATATATTTATTTTAAGTTTTCAATCTTTTTACTCTTTATGACACAATTGGCAATCTATGTTAACACTCTTTAAAAAATTTCAGGGGGGTCAAAGTTTCCTAAAATTGACATGTTCAAGGAGGTGTACGTTCGGCCCGGGGATGAGCTGACGGAGCAGCTTCATGTAAGTTCTTTCACATTTATAATGTTCAATTTGTATTAGTATTAATTACATTTATATTCATATTAATTTGTTTTTTTTCATTTTTCTAGTCCACCATGGTGGAGAAGGGCCAAACAGTTCTCGAGGAGGTGGTTTCCCAACTTCCCCTAGAGACCTCGATCGAGGAGGTGTTTCCCCCTGAGGTTGCTCGGTTTCAGATCATGACCGACACACTTGATTAGACCCTCGGTCGTCGATGTGGGAATGTTCACCGGAGGCTTAGGAAAGCCAGCCTTCGAGACCCGTCTGCCTCATCCTCCAGGCAGAGAACTGAATGGGTCGATACGCTGACATATGAAGTGGTGGGCTTAAAGGAACAGATTGTGGCCCAACAGTCTCAGATTGTGGCCCAAAACAATTTCATGAACCAAATACGTCTTGCACTTCAGATCTCTAGCATTCAATTCCCCGACGTTGAACTACCTCTAGAAATGACCTCCCAGCCCCCCCCCCGGCAGCAGCTACACCCTCTCAGCCCCCCGTCGCAGCAGCCACGACCTCCCAACTCCCTAACACAACAGCAACACCACCAGCCGACGATTGTGATGTCGAGGACTTCTTTTTTTAGTGTTGTTTTAATTTGTTTTAGAATTTAAAAATACTTTTTTTCCATTGTATATACATTTACAATAATTTTTCAATTCAATATGTTTCTTTACATTTTCTATTTTTATTTTCATTAAATTCACTTTTACATAAACGAAAAAAATAATAATAAATTATTTAAAAAACTAATTTTAAAATTTCACTGTGATGGCCTCTATATCCGTCTCGCAAAAGTTTGTGGGTCAAACTTTAACATCCGTCTCGCAAGACTTTGAGGGTCCAACCCGTGTTACTGTCGCGCAAGAGTTTGGGGGTCGAAACCCAATTTCGTCGCTCAGTAGCCCAATGACCACGACTTCCGTCGCGCAATATTCATTTCGCTCGACAAAGACATTACCTCCATCGCGCAATGCCTGACGTCATGAGCTTTGCGCAACGAAGTCTTCGCCGCCCAATGTTTCTGGTGACGATTTTTCTCTTTGCGCGATAGTTTCCCCTTCGTCGCCCAAGATGTTATTCCTAGTAGTGTTTGTACCCACTTCACACCACTCACACCACCACCACCGTCGCCGATGAGGTCCCTCTCTACCTCCACCACCGTCGCCGATGCCTTGGAGGCCCTAAAGACCTCTGATGACAACTTCATCACTGTCTGGGACTGCAACCACTCCAAACTCAATTTTGTTGTATTACTGATTATATGGATAATCAAGTGGTAAACAAGTACTAAATGATGGTTACAAGCACCTAGATACCGTTTTGCTTTCAGTTTAATTTCAATCTCCACTCTCATTTTTGCAGATCAATATATGTGGAGAATAGGGAATAAAACAATAGCATTTTGCACATGTATGCTAAATGTTTTTTGTTGAGTTTTCTTGTAGAAAGAATGTAGAATTGATGAAGCTAATTTTCGCATTTTCACAGGCAAATTAAAATCTGGATATGATGTAAATTGCTATGATGAGAAACTTACCAATGCGAAATCTGTACCTAGAACCCCACTTCAGAAATTGTCAATTGCTAAGTCTTCAATAATTGTAGTCCACACTAACGTGAAAATAACTGGGGTGAAAAAAAATGGCGTGAAAGAACTAGCATGGAAGAATTAAACATGAGAAGAAGCAGGATTGAACGGGAAAGGAAAGAGAAGACTCCTCGTATGCCACAATCACCGTTTAATTCCAGTTTTTTTTTAATTATTGGTTTATTAAATATTTTTAATTTAAATTAAATTCTGATTAATTTAAATGATGTGGCTATCTACGAGGTGGTATATAAATGTGGTATAAAAACATGGTAAGAATAGCATTATTGTTAACTCCCTAGAGGCTCAGGACTATTCCACAGGATATTCACCTCCTGACTTCTCACTTTGTTAGCATTCAATTTCGCCACATTGGAGAGAAGAGAAGTTTGTTACTGATGCTCTTGTCACCTATAGTCATTTATCAATTCAGATTATGTTTGGTTTCACTCTTGTCCTACCCTTGTTACGCAGGCTTTATGTTTTACTCTTCTTGTACTGGATGCCCATGGAGTTTGTTGTTTAACTAAGGGATACTTTAGATGCGGTCTTTAATCCTTAATATTCTTTGATTAAGGGTAGCAGAAAATACACTCAAAATTAAAATAAAATAAAATAAGGGTAGCAGAAAATACACTCAAAATGAAGGGTTGTTGCCACAATTATACACAGTATGGTAGTTGAGAATTCCACGTTATGTATAAAGTTAGAAACACAGACACGTTACATATAAGCACGCTTGATGGGAAGGGTCCGTAGAGAGGATTAGCATGTCAATTTTTGTTGCTTCCTTGGATTAAGTATTTTCCCTTTTGTGGTCAAACTATAAGGGATTATTAGGTTCCGCAATAGATGCAGGCAGTGAGGGAGGCGTTATCAGCTTGTGTTGAGGAGGGCTGCAATGGGGTGATAATAGAATCTTATTCAAGCAATTTAATTTCAATGCTTAAGGGTGAGAAGGAGATGCTGATATTATGATTGATAGCATTATATTTGATACAGGTAGCTATTCAAATGGAGTTCATTGAGTTTTCATGTGTCTCGGCGATGAAATAGGGTGGCTCATTCGGTGACTTCACAGATGGGGTTTGCTTTTTCCTAAATATATGTCCAAAATTATAGCAGAGGATGTAAACATTTGTATTTGACTTTAACTTTAATGAAATTCTATGGTTTGACAAAAAAAAAATGATCATATACATATATTTAGATGGCATTTTCAATGGATAGCATAAAAAAACAAATTTTGCTAAATGAAGAAAAATTAGGCGAGAATAGATAACATCAAATTAATCAATGATAGACATTGTGAAGTATCTCGAGTAAGCTGATAGAGTATATATTCATTCCTAGCTATGACCTCTTTTAATATTAACTAATAACAACTTCCTAAGCATATGATAAAAGAAGAAAGGAAGTGAAAAGGAGAGAAATATGAAATGTAATTACTAACACTCTTGGTCTTTAAACAAATATTAAAACTCTTTTTAGTTGTAAGAGTTGTAATGCGCATTTAACCCTTCTCTTAACACGAAATTTGGATCTACATTTAAACCAGAATTTGGTTTCAACTATGAATGGTCATTTTTTATTTTTTATTTTTCCCGAAAATAACATCTTCTCTCTGACTAATTTCGATAAAATCGAATCACTCTCATCTAACTTTTAGGTGATTATCTAACTTAAATTGGAACTCTTCTATATATATGTCTATTTATACTTCGACAGGTTTGACATGCAAACACCATCTCGCATCTTTCACTCGATCGATCAAATCGATTATATTTCTCACTTGAGATTCTAATTTAGCAAAGATGGTGAAGGGAGGAGTTGCTGTGTTTTTCCTTCTCTTTTGCGTATTATTGACACAATGTTTGGCTGCTTCCGATTCCACAGCTCCTGCAGCACCCCAAACACCCGCATCCCCATAGTATTCACGGTGGAACCCTGATCCTAAGCTTGTAAAGTGCCTTGGAGCTTACCACACTGCCTCCGCAACTTGTTACCATGAGATTTCCGTATCTTACTGGACTCGCAAAGTCGCCATTCGAGAAGATTGCTGCAAGGCCATTGTAGAAATGGGCGACGATTGCGCCAACTATGTTTTCTACAAGTTCCACAACTACTTCTTCCAAGCTTTGTTAAAGAATCATTGCTCCAGCAAAGCTTCACCTTCACCTTCACCGGCACCCACAAAAGCTTAAGATCCATCTCTAGTTTAATCTTAGATTAGCTAGCTAGGTTTAGAGTACAAAAAAATAGCTCAAAACAAACAAGTACTCTTTTTTTTTTCCCATTCGTTTAGGGTCTCCAGCATTCTTCTTCGGGGCATGTTTAAATAGATAGTGGAATCTTAGATATCTTAAATTAAATTTTTTTTTTTTTATAGTAATTTCTTTTTTTTATTTTGTGCACTCTTCACGCTTGCATCTGCTTTTTTCATAACCACGAAATGATATGTTATAATTACATATGCATGTCTGGCATATAAGTACCTGCCACAATTTAACTTTTCTATTTAGTTTTGTGGTGGTACCCTTTTTTCAATTCATTTCGTGACACGTACCCTAATAAGATGTAACTAGGGATAATAATATCCTAGATTTAATATATTATGTCCTTGAAGCGAATATTAACCCCCCCCCCCCCCACCCCCTAATGACAAGAACAGCAGTTCAAAGGATTGTATAATTGATATTAGCAGTCCATTAAATTGTACACCGAGCTCATTTTCGGTCGTCGGAATTGTCATGCCGTAGCATTGACTAGCTTGTGGCTGTTAAAATCATTTTCGAAGCCAAGTAACAATCGAGTTTTAATATCAATTGCGTGCCAAAGAATTCTTCTTACGAAGCAAAGCTATTGTATAGCATCTCTAAGAGATGTATGTTGTGCTACATAAACAAAATTGGTATTTCGAAATAGCAAATGAGAGCGTGAGGTTTCGTTGTATTAATGATAAACAGAATTCACAAGATCACAATAAAAACAATAATTCAAATCAATTCAAGTTATTCCATACTTGTAGCATTTAATGTTAGGGTAAATTACATTTTCATACCTCAGGTTTGAGACCTATTTCAATTCCTTACAACATTTTCAAAACATTTCACTTTTATGCCTTAAGTACTATTTTATTTCAAAATAATACATCCGTTACATTTTCCGTCCATGGATCTGTTAAGTGTTGACGTGGCTGCCAAATGTGTGCCACGTGGCAAAAAAAAAATTTTAATTTTTTTTTAAAACCTGAATTTTCTCAAAAAAAAAAAAAAAAACCATTATCCCCCCCCCCCAATTCCCCACATGCAACAACAACAACAAGAAGAGGAAGAGGAAGAAGAAAATAAAAAAAAATAAAAATAAAAATTGTAACCCAGTTCGTCCCCCAACACCCACCCAACCCCCACCCCCACCCCGCGCGCACGCCCGTGATCCAGCGACCAACCTCCCCTCCCTCCCCTACCCCTCGGGTGACCCCGCAACCCACCTCCCTTGTACATAGACCTCGAATCACACCTAATCTCGGGTGCTTTTGTGGTAGATTCATCTTGGGGAGTTTGAGATGGGGATTTTGAGTTTGAGATGATTTTTGGACTGGTTTTGTGATAGATCCACCTAATCTCGGGTGGGATTTTTTAGGGTGGGTGATGGGGGATGGGAGAGAGGGGTGGCTCGAGTGGGATTTTGGGGTGGGTGATGATGGATGGGAGAAAGGGGTGGGTCGGGGATGGGTTTTTATTTTTTTTATTTATTTTTTTAAATTCATGTTTAAAAAAAAAATTAAAAAAAAATTTTTTTTTTTGCCACATGTATGGCATACATCACGTCAACACTTAATGGATCTATGGATGGAATATGTAACAGATGTATTATTTTGAAATAAAATAGTACTTAAGGTATGAAAGTGAAATGTTTTGAAGATATTGTAAGGAATTGAAATAGACCATAAACCTGAGGTATGAAAATGTAATTTACCCTTAATGTTATGTAGCTCGGAAGAATTTTCTGAGATAGACCTATTAAACGAAAGTTTTAAGTGTTCTACCTTCCTACAATTTTTGGGTTGTGCTACTTTTCTCTTTGTGTTGGTTTGGGCTGCATTCTCTCAAGCCCACTTCTCCTTAGGCTATCTCACTTATTAAAACCAAACGCAACGTCTAGGTCTTTAGGGCGTCTTCCTTATGTGTACGCATTCCTCGCAATCGCATGCCTTCTTTACCACGGCGGCGTATGCCTTTCAGGATTGTCACCTTTTCATGACTGCGCCTAGAGCGTTTCGGTGATGCCTTTCCACAAGGCGTGCAATCGCATGCCTTTCAAAACGCTGCTCATGACATAGATGTATCCCAAAGGCAATTTTAGAATAAGTATGAAGTACATAGTATCAAACTAACTGCAATTGTATTGGGATATAACGCTTGTCAATATATATATATATATATATATATATATATATATATATATCTAATGATAGTAACATAGAGACGTGCAGCACTTGTCTTTTAATAAAAAATAAAAAAAAGGGACCAGTATATGGCTTTGTCATGGCAGTCCATCCTTTTCAGGTTGGAAAGACTGGAAGATTCCAATGATATTTCAACATCCCTTTACCACCATCTTGTGATTCACCAGTGTTAGGAGTCGAATCCAAAACTCACCTCGTCAAATGCAGGCCTGAAATTCGTTCCCAATCACTTAATCACCCCGTGGTGGCTGATGTGCAGTACTAGTCTACTACATGCTTCTATTAGATAAAATCAAATTCTTGTTCTCTTTTAATTTATAATTATCCAACTCTAATATACTTTTTTCTTTGAAAATTGAGAGCTCATACAGTGTCGCTATGGGAATTGACCGGTGACAACCCTAAAATTTTGTTGGGATTAATACAGTTGACGCGTAATCCCAACGTGCCAAAAGTTCATAGAGTTAATATATCCCGCAAGGATTCGGTGTGGCGGGATATATGGAGGTTGAAGGTTCCACCTAAGTTATGCCATTTTGTTTGGAAGGGGTGTTGGAACTTCCTTCCAGTACGTACAAATTTGCAACGTAGGGGGATTTGTTTGGAGACTAGTTGCCCGCTCTGCGAATGTGAGGTGGAAACGCAGGTACATATTTTCTTTAGGTGCCCATTTACTCGTGTTTTCTGGTTTGGTTCTCCGTTGCAATTAGATGTGGCCATGGTGGTGGGTGAGGATTTCTTGGAATGTTGGAAGTGGTTGTGTGCAAAATATGGCAAGGAGGGGGAGCCTAGTGACCTTATGCGGTGGGTGGTTTGTGGTCTATGGAGGATCTGGAAGTGTCGCAATAGTTAGGTGTTTGATAAGATTGAGGTAGAGCCTCTTGTCGCGATGCGATTACTTCAACAACAATGGGAAGAGATAGCGACGTGTGAGGGGGAATCACTGCAGCAGCCACCCCGTGGGCTGCAAGGTAGAAGGGAGAGTACTCAAGGGTTGATAAAGCCAACTTTTCGAACAATAAAAGTTAATTGTGATGGTGCATGGTGTAGTCGTACTAGTATGGGTGGCTTTGGGTGGGTTGCGAGGGATTTTGTGGCCATTTTCAAAGGTGCTGGAGGTGTGGGTAGAATCCTTTGTGTGTCGAGTATTATGGCGGAAGCAGAAGCACTAAGGTTGGCTTTGGTGGCTTGTGTGGAAAGAGGCTTTGAGTCTGTTCAGGTGGAAACTGATTCACATGTTCTTGTCGACATGATTCATGGGAGTTTGCAATCGAAGGCAATTCTGGATGGTATTTTATGGGATATTAATCTTCTTAAGCAACAATTATGTGTTGTTGAGTTTCTATATGCTCCTCGTGCCTGTAATAAGGTTGCACATCTTGTGGTATCTTATGTCACGCATGTGAGGGTTGTTCATTCATGGGATGGTTTTGAACTAGAATGGTTGTTTAACATTCTGACGTCTGATGTAAACATTTCGATTCCTATTTAATAATATTCAAATTTCGACCAAAAAAAAATAACAATCTCTAGCAAGAATCCTATTTATAAACTAGAGTTTGATTTCAACTATGGACGATGATTTTTTTACATATGATCCTAAAAGATAATGAGCTCGTATTAATCTTCAGACTTTACCAAACGGATTTGGACGAGTCATGTTCTCTTGGGGGTGATCAAGAACTTATGATGGCCTATTTTTAGACCTGATATAAGTAGAGAATAAATATGTATTTATCAATGTTTTAGTCTTAATCTTTGATGTCAAATCTAAAAGGATCAACGAGTGATTATGCATTTCTTGATTATTTGACGATCAAAAGAACATTTTTGGTTTTTCTAAATTACTACATGCCATATAATATGCGAGTATATAGTAGTATATAGTAAATTAGAAGAGTGAATTAATTCAAACTATTAGATCAACTGAAGTCTTGTTGATCTAATTCTCTTTTAATTGACAATTACTGTCAAATTAGAAAAACCTAATTCAAAAAGGTTTCTTATTGGTTTTATTGTTTAAACACTTCGAGTTTGTAATCACCTATGCATGATGGTTTATTTACTTTTATACTAATCCTCATCGGTCGACTAATTTAGATAAAATCAAATCAGTCTCATCTAAATCTAGAGTGATTATCTAACTTAAATTCCAACTCTTCTATATGCATGCCTATATATACTTCCATACATTTCACAATCACTCACATCTTTCACTCGATCAAATCACTTACTCGATTGCTTATTACATTTCTCACTTATGTTCGATTTTCGTTAACTGCACTAATGTGGTTCAAATTCATCTTTAAAGAAAATCGAACATAAAACCTCTCACAGACTATACGCGAGTATATAGTAGTGTATGGTAGATGTCCACTTGTTTAGAGAGAGAAGCTGGTTAAATTATCTAGCAATCAAATTGAACATGATCGATCGAAACTACTGGGACCATCAGAGTGCACGCCCGGAAAGCGGAGAAAATCTACAAAATCCGCAGAAGATGTGCAACAAAAACTCAACCACATCAACTGCAAAATAGGGAATCAGAAAGGAGAAAAATCAACAACTTTTTAAAAATTGGGTCGAAATTCCCAACCGGATTCACTAACATGTTCACTTTTTTTATACACATTTTTCTTTACCCCGACCCGCCCGAAGAAAAAGAAACTAAAACTCCCGCAAATCATCCGAAACCCATGAATCTTATAAGAAACTATATGTCAAAAAGCTAAAAAGAAAGAGGGTAAAAAGAGAGTTAAGAATAAAACTAATGGTGTCTGGCGTTGGAGCTCCGGATCGTCACACCGTGCAAAAATTTTGTATATCCAAGGAAATTGAGCTTTCCGTCCGCGCTTCTGATCCAATCTCGGAGGATATTGTAGGCAGAAGGGCCGAGATTTAATTCCTGCAGAAACCGTTACGGTTAAAATAAGAAATGCAGCAAAAATCTGCTGTAAAAGGAAAGGATACAAGATTTCCGTGAAAACGAGAGGAGCATAGTTGGTCATACTCTTGCCAGTTCTTCAATTGATATGACTCGGTTACCCTCCTGTTCAAAATGCTCAAAAGCGGTACAGGCTATCTGCTCCCACCCTTCAAGGGCCTCCATTTGATGGGTACTGATTGCGGCTGCACAAAATTCTTCGAAGTTCATTGTTCTATAAGCAAGCGGTTCCATCTGAAATCAATTTTAACAGGGAATTGAGAAAATGATAATTGCTGACCTCAAATACCATGGGATAAAAAAGGTTTAAGTGTCAGATAAATTATAGCTAAAGTTACGGTAGCCTGCACATGCTAGCAAACTTCAACTAACACAATCCAAAAGCAAGAGCAGAATATAAAATAAGCCTTACCGCATTTAGGATATCAACAACCTTTGACTCTTTCATCGCTTCAGTTGAATTTCTCTGTAGAGCCTGCAAAGTTTAATTTCCTCACCATAAGCCCCCCTTCAAAATATACATTGCCCGGAAACTATTAAAAGAACTAGTAGGAGATAACCATTTTGAAATTACGAAGAGAGACACGCTCGTCTTTATCTGGTTCCAAAAGCATGAATTGGGCTCTTAGATATATCAGCTCTTCCTCCGTCAAAGCTTTGGAAAGAGACTGCAATCACGTCATGAAAAAACAGAAACATATCTTTAATGTAGGATAGATCGGGCTCCATGAAAAGTGAAAGAAATGGCAGATTATTGATCACACAGCATTAGACACAGGAAACAAGAGAAAAAAAGAGGAACAAATTATGTAATTTACTAGGATTTAGCTAAATGGAGAAATTGATATGAAATTAGAATGTCTCTATGAACCATCACACTGCCTATTTTGTAAAGGGTTCAAAAGAAAAGCTACAGGTTTTACCTTTTCGTCTCACTTCCATTAGACATCAGAACCGAAAAGTGGAAACTGAGATAGCAATTTAATAATTTTCTTTCTCCACTAATTAACAAAACAAGGGTTGATTTTTCTGTTCACTTTGCCAATTAAGTTTCTTAAAAAGTAGATATTGATTACATAGAAGTATCTTCCCATGTAACAAAGATATCCCAATATTGACATTTTATAAGCATCATTTTCAAGGATGCCATAGGGTGATGGTGATGATATATTATACAGTTGAAAATACATTCTTTGAGACCCAAAATGAAAAGGAAACAGTTTAATCATCAAGTAAAACCAAGAGATGAAGCTTTGACATTTAAGAGCAGACACGGCCAAGCTATATGTAACATGAATAATTCGGTGATATCGAAAATTTCTAATAGTGAAAAAAGAAATGGGGTGAAGGTAGAAAGAGTCATATTAGGAAATGCTAACAATACCTTAAGTGCTGCACGTTTGAACGGCGTAGCATGGAGATATGATTTGACTAATTTATATATCAATATATCCAAAGGAAGAGGACGACTATCATCTCGCAACCATGGGTGAGCTGCAATTATGTGTCATTATTAGCTTTGAATAACAAATAGAAAATATCACTTATCATCACTATCAAATAACAATGCCAAATTGAAATAGTATTCAATTTAAAGTCACTTTTGCTTAAGAATATTCGGTATCAAACTAACAATAATTGTAGTTATATTGCAGGATATGTATGGGATGATTCTATAACCACACTTTTTGAGAGAATGAACACATGTATTTCAGCATATGACACAATATAGATGGATGCAGTTCAAATATGATGGAGCAACCAAATAGAAACCTCCCACCCACTACCCTGAAATCAATAAGTTATTTAGATTGTGGGAGAGAAACACACAGACCACCCAAACATGATTAAGAGCAAAGCATATCATCTAAAACTGTCCACCAATTTTTTATCTCCTGGGTAGTACTTTAGACAGCAATAGAAAGAAATTTGGCTTACATAAGGCTTGGACAGCAGTCATTCTTTTTCGGTAGTCCTTATTCAAAAGTCTTCTTACGAAGTCCTTGGCCTCTAGAGATATAGTAGGCCAGGGCAAATCATCGAAGCTCGGATCAGCTCTTAGCACTGCACGGAAAATTCCAGATTCGGTTCGTGCCCAGAAAGGTCGGCTTCCACATAGCAGGATATAGGTGATAACACCAATGCTCCATATATCTCCCTCAAGGCTATAAGATCTATGGAGGACTTCAGGCGCAACATAGTATGCACTTCCAACAATGTCATTAAGTCTTTCATCTGCACATAAACGCATAAATGGATAAATAATGAAGATAAAGTTCCTCCTTTAATGTAATAAGTACAAAGAAAGTAAGAATTAGATCTAGCAGTCAAAAGAGGGGAAACACACATTACATATTGACATTGGTTAGTTGAAAAAGGACTGCATCTTTTCCACTACAGTTCTCATCGTACATGATTTCTTTTTTGGTGACTATGACCAAATTTAGTTTTCCTTGGAAAAATGATGAACAACTAAACGCTCTCTGTTTTCTTTTCCAAGAGGGGTTAGAAGATAAGATATGTTGCACAGAATTATACTGGACTTGATACTACCGCATCCACAGATTTACCAGAATTAGATTGGACTTGTTGAAAACATTCAACAAGTTTCCTACAAATCCAAAAAATGGCATACAAAACAGAACACTTCTAAGAAAGAATTCATTTCATACCCGATACAAATACAAAAACGTGTATTTATCTTCAATTTCAACCAAATTAACCTGGAGTTGATAAAAATCATCAAACTTATCAAAAGCATACCCAGGTGCCAAGTCATTGTAAGGTGTTCCATTCAATTGAAACATCAAATAGTCAGGAAAATTGAATGTTGTCCGTTTCAAAAAGGAAAACAATAACTAAAACCAAGCGGTACTCTAACTGCAGCTCTAATATATTTACTAAAACAAGGATAATATCCAACTTCAACTAACAAGAGAGTAGGGATGATCATCAATAGATACCTGGTCTGATAAAGTCAGAAAGACCAAAATCAATAAGCTTCATATCAGCATCTTCACTTCTAGAAGCGAAAAGGAAATTCTGTTAAACAGGAAAGAGAAAAAATATTTAGCACTATGTTTGGAGGTAGAAACAGATAAGAAGTCATAATTAACTTAAACACATAGGTTGATAATCAAAACCTCTGGTTTTAAGTCACGGTGCACAACGCCTTGAAGATGACAAAATGAAACAACACTTAAGATTTGCACCACTATGTGTTTTGCATCTTCCTCTGCATACTTTCCGCCTCTGCAGTTAAGGTGAGTTTGTCAACATACAATACACCTTTGGAATGAAATGAGTATTTCAATACTGGCAAAGAAATTACCTAGATAAAATTCTGTCAAGAAGTTCCCCCCCTTCACACAATCTGGTAAGAGAACACAAATCCACAGATGTCATACCAAAGGAGCATGAGACGTGGCATATGATGCCTCAACCAGAAAAGTTTATATACTTCGTCATTCAACAATCATGCATGCAACTGACTGTCAAAATAAAAAGGATGAACAGAAAACAAGGTATACATACTCCATGACAATGTA